AAAAATCAATTAGAGAAAGGTGGAAAATGATAGCTGCCTTCTGCTTATTAGACGCCATTTTTCACACTGCGAGTCAATAAAAAAATTTAAAAAAATAAAGTGGTGACTTAAATTAAATAAGCAATCAATCACTTTTTCCGATCTTTTTTTTTTGTTTCTTTGAGATCGTTTAGTGATAAAAGTACAGTGCAAAAAATAAAAAACGCAACACCCTGAATAACTTTTGATCTAATGATCAGATCTTCACATTCTAGGACTCATTCTTAATGGTTCGAGATTATGACCTCAAATACGCTAAGTAATTAGTTATTTTAAGTTATGAAATCGTACTTTTTTTAAATAAACATATATTTTTTTTCCCCAGCGGATTCGGGTTTCTGACCTCCAAAACAAAGAGGGTACCCACAATCTGGGAATTACGGTCCCCATAGCTTGGTCAGGAGAGCGATCCAAAGCTTTGACCATTTAATGTTAGTTTTATTTTTGCGTATTTCGCCACACCGCGAAAATTTTTTAAGTGAAATGAAACATTTTTGCACACAATTATAAAATTCGTTTATCCTAAGCTAATTCTATGCAAAAAAGTAATGTTTTATTATTTTTTATTATTTTATTTAATAACAGTCGAAAAAATTTTAACTTGTAAGGCACACAATTTTTTAAATCATTTTAAAGTATTTAATTTTATATAACAAAATTCAAAATTTACGCAAATTCGGTTGAATAGTTAATGAGAAATTAAATTTCATATATGTAAGACTTTTTCAAAATTCGATTTCTAAGAAACTATTCAACCGATTTCACTCAAATTTTCTATTGTGCCACGCTAATTTACATACTTTAAACTGACGTAAAAGGTTGTATACCTTACAATTCAATTTTTCTTCGATTATAATCAAATAAAATAATAAAAAAAGATAAATATTTGCTGAACTTTATGTTTTGCGTGGAATTATCTTTGAATAAACGAAATTTATAATTTTGCCAGTTGTAATGATTTTATTATAAATTATTTTAAGTAAAAAAATGTTTTAAAAGAGCTGTTTTAAAAGAACAATTTATAAATGTGCCTTAATTTTTTTTTATTGCAAAGTCGAATGCATCTTGCATACATAGTAAAAATAACAAAAATATATTCCCCTCCCATCAAAAAAAAATATTTAAAAAAAAATTCTCTGACTAAAATAAATAAGTAAAGATTACAAATAATAGCTCCTATCCCATTAAGCATCTAGTTCCAACCACACCAATTGTTAAAGACACGATTTTCTGATTTATTATTTTGTAATCGTTAAGTTGTGAATAACAGATTTAAGTAGTTATGTCAGAAAAATGATTTTCCATGATTTTAAAAAATTGCCTTTCTCCCAAATCAATAAAAAGTGTCCTTCAAAACTATTCTACAAGTCTAAAACTTCAAAAGAAAAAAGTATCTAAAAGATGTGTAAAAAAGAAAGGTCCTCTAAAATTATTTATCAGTTCTAAAACATCACAACCCCCCTCCCCCCAAAAAAGTTTATCTATATATTCGCATCAAAATATTTAACTAAAATGTTGCAACAAAAAAATGGTGTTTATGTGCAGGAAAATTCCTATCCCCTTTTAAAATATTTTAAAAGATGAAGAATCGAGAATTTCAATATTTTTCTAATCACTGAAAAGAGGAGTAACAAACAAACAAATAAAAAAAAACTTTATTAAGAAAATGATTTGGATGAATGAGAAATTGAGATTAAGAGAAAAAGTTATAAATAAGAACTCTTTATTTCAATCCCTTCTTTCGATTTAAAAAAAAAAAAAAAAAAAAAAAAGAAATTTATAAAAAAATTTCCAAAGTAAAGCAGCTTAAATGAAACGTGTTCATTTTCATTATTTTTATTTTTTTTTATAACCGTCGTTTGATTCTATTTTATTTTATTTTATAACCATCGTTGAACAGCCAACCCAATTTTGGGTTTACGACTACTAATGCTCTACTCCGTAGCCTTGTAGGTAGAGGTTTTCGTGGTTTTCTTCTCCTTGCAATGCAAATGCTGGTTAGTTCCATATTAAAAGTCTTCCACGAAGGCAAATTTCTCCCGATACTTGATCCAGAAGTTCTCTTGTCTTCTGGATTGGTTTCAAAATTACAAGGCTGCGGAGTTGAACATTAGTAGCCGTAAACCCAAAATTGGGTTGGCTGTTCAACGATGGTTATAAAATAAAATAAAATAGAATCAAACTTCATTTTCACCTGAAAAATCACGGGAATCCGACCTTCTTTACTAATTTTTTGAAAATAAAGTGATAGCTAACATTAGAAAATATCCTTTTAGTTTAGGTGCGAGTGTCCGAACACTTTTTTTTTCATTTCATTCATTTGCTTTTCTACATGAATATCTAAAAGGGTCTCGCCATCTTGAATTTTAGGTAATATTTTTTATTAGAGTTTTCTTGATATTTTTGTGTGTACTTATCAAACTTTTGACGATGCAGAATTATTCAAAAGCACAATAGCTTTAATGGAAAAAGTAGGAAATAATTAGGAGATAATTATTATTAGTAATTATTAATAGACTTGATAATTATTAGAACTTCTATGGATTTTTCCTGAAAACAGTAAAACAATAAAATTTGTGGTTTCGAGTACGTTATTTAAAACTACACATTTTATTTACTTTTATTACAGTTTAAACTGATGAAAATCGTTAGGAATAATGCTTAAAATTTCTTTAAACGTTAATTGCACAAAAAATGAATGTATTTACTTATAATCCAAAAACAGACAGTTACGATAGAATTATCTTTCAAAAGCAACATATTCCAGAATTGCAATGGTATAATTTTGCCAGGAAAAAAAATTAATAGAAACTATTTGTAGTTAATTTACGTCGCACAAGAGCTGCACAATGGGCTATTGGCGACGGTCTGGGAAACATCCCTGAGGATGATCCGAAGACAAGTCATAACAATTTTGATCCTCTGCAGAGGGGATGGAACCCCCGCTTCGGTAGCCCAACGACCTGCATGCGAAGTCTAGCACTTTACGGTAGAACAGTTTAACGAGAACCCATACCGCTCACCCTCGGTCCCTACGCAGACTGATCCAAGTGGTCTCCCACCCGCACACTGACCGCAGTCAGTGATTCGATGATCTTCTGGGAACCGTGTCTTAACGATCAGTCCACTGCGGGACCAATAGAAACTAGAGAGTATAAAATATCGCATGTTTTATATCTAAAAACAGACAGAAACGATAGAATTATCTTTCAAAAACTACGTATTCCAGATTTGTAATGGTATAATTTTGGCAGGAAAAAAAAATTAATAGAAACTAGAGAGTATAAAATATCGCATGTTTTATATCTAAAAAGAGACAGAAACGATAGAATTATCTTTCAAAAACTACTTAATACAGAATTGTAATGGTATAATTTTGTCAGGAAAAAAAAAAAAAAAAAAAAATTATAGAAACTAGAGAGTATAAAATATCTCATGTTTTATAGCTAAAAATAGACAGAAACGGTAGAATTATCTTCCAAAAACTACTTATTCCAGATTTGTAAGTCCCGCAGTGGACTGATCGTTAAGACACGGTTCCCAGCAGATCACCGAAGTCAAGCATCACTGGCTACGGTCAGTGTGCGGGTGGGTGACCACTTGGATCAGTCTGCGTAGGGACCGAGGGTGTGCGGTATTGGTCCTCGTTAAACTGTGCTACCGTAAAGTGCTCGACTTCGGGCGCAGGTCGTCGGGCTACTGAAGCGGGGGTGCCATCCCTTCCGCAGAGGATCAAAATTGTGATGGCATGTCTTCGGATCGTCCTCCGGGATGTTTCCCTGACCGTCGCCAATAGCCCATTGTGCAGCTCTAGTGCGACGTAAAGTAACAACAACAACAACCGGATTTGTAATGGTATAATTTTGTCAGGAAAAAAAAAATTAATAGAAACTAGAGAGTATAAAATATCGCATGTTTTATATCTAAAAACAGACAGAAACGGTAGAATTATCTTCCAAAAACTACTTATTCCAGAATTGTAATGGTATAATTTTGTCAGGAAAAAAAATTAATAGAAACTAGAGAGTATAAAATATCGCATGTTTTATATCTAAAAACAGACAGAAACGGTAGAATTATCTTCCAAAAACTACTTATTCCAGAATTGTAATGGTATAATTTTGTCAGGAAAAAAAATTAATAGAAACTAGAGAGTATAAAATATCGCATGTTTTATATCTAAAAACAGACAGAAACGGTAGAATTATCTTCCAAAAACTACTTATTCCAGAATTGTAATGGTATAATTTTGTCAGGAAAAAAAATTAATAGAAACTAGAGAGTATAAAATATCGCATGTTTTATATCTAAAAACAGACAGAAACGGTAGAATTATCTTCCAAAAACTACTTATTCCAGAATTGTAATGGTATAATTTTGTCAGGAAAAAAAATTAATAGAAACTAGAGAGTATAAAATATCGCATGTTTTATATCTAAAAACAGACAGAAACGGTAGAATTATCTTCCAAAAACTACTTATTCCAGAATTGTAATGGTATAATTTTGTCAGGAAAAAAAATTAATAGAAACTAGAGAGTATAAAATATCGCAGTTTTATATGTCATTTTGTGATTGGGAGACGGTCTACATATATCATAAAATGCTTCCAAATACAGTAATATCCATCATTAGTTTATTTATGAAAGTTATATAAAGAAAGTTAAAAGCATATTTAGAATTTTCCACCCCTTCGAATTCTTAATATTTTTATAGAAATACAAATTTTTATATCATTTAAAAAAAATAAATGTTCGATAAATATTTTCTCTCGGAATAACCTTTCTAAAAATATTCACAATTATGATTTATTATTATTCAATCAGCTTAAGTTTGTAAACAACGCGTAATAAAAGAAATAAGTCCGGTTTTCTGCTAATGAGCAGATTTTTACTTCCTTTTCCGCCCCAACTCAATCTGACGTCGGCCCCCCAAGCCGGGTGATCTGGGATAAGAGCCAACTTCTTTTTGCGAAGCGGCCAACTTGTGGCAGTCGCTCAAGGTCAAAACATGCGGCACGTGCCGATTTATTTCATGTATTTTAGTGCTGCGCAGGTGAAGCTATCTCTTCAAATTACTTTACTTATAATCACCCTTCAAAAAATCAAGCTTCGTAGAATGCAAAATTAGAAATCAAGCATTCATTTCTGGAATGGAATTACGTGATTTAAGTCATACAATGAATTAATAAAATAAAAAAATCTTCGAGTGTTGTTTACGATTTTCAATAATGGAAGCTGAACTAGAAGAAAAAAAGACGCATGCGCAATGCTTCTATTATGATCCACCCAACCCAGTCGATGGACCAATCAACGAGCTCGCTTTTGCCGCCACTCTCAGTAGTGGAGGATGCTGCTTTCAGAAATCGTAAACGAAACAAAACAGTTATGCGTGTTGTGTCACAAATAATCTAGTGTCTTGTTTTCATTATTATTTCGGTATGTCAAGTGTTGCCAATGCTGCAAAATCGTTCGATATGTTGTTCTCGCTTGAACTTATGTTTTGATATAGTATATATTTATTTTATTCGAATATTATTTTGTTTGTGTGTTATATGCGGGAGCTGTCAAAATGCAGCAGCGCCAAGCGATCTATGAAAACTTCGATCCTATTTCTATGACCATATGCTGCGTGCCGACTATATGTCATATTGGGGAACCTATAGGTTTAGAAAAATTATTCGAAGCTGTGAAAGTTATATGCAATAATGAAAGTTGTCGAGAGGGGCAATATATGCACAAGTTGTGTTTTGATCAATGGGAGGACACTGTATTGACATTTCTTCGTTCGACCGGTCGCGCTCGAAGTTGGAGCGAAAAACAGCGTTTACAGAATTTATGGACCAAAAAAGGGTACGATTTGGCTTACAAAGCTTGTGGCTGTAAATGTGGTAAAGGTCATTTGCGTAAAGATTTGGACTGGTTACCTCCACCTATACCCATTGATGATCAAAAACGAAAGAAACATCGTAAGAAAAAGAACGACAAACCATCACTGTCAATTACCGGTACAACTCCTATTTTAAAACCTGGCCTGACAATTGTTCCTCAAGTTCCTGTAAATCGAATCCGTAGCTCAAGCATATCCAGCACCAGTTCTACATCTGGTAGCCCCCCGAATTCTGCATCGTCTGATTGTCCGCTTTCGCCTAGTTGGGGTACTAAAAGCTGTTTACCTGAACGAAAAGAACGGCATGCCAGCGGTACTATCTTCAGCCGGCGTTTGGATTACTCTTCATTTAATACCTTGCCACCTAATAAAATTAATTCCTACCATATAAAAATAGAGGATGAAGGAAATCAAGGTAATGATGAAATAAGGTGCTTTATTTTGTCAACTTTAAGTGCTAACAAAAAATCTGGAATAAATTGCATCTTCTGTTACAACCATATGTTAATTTTTGATCGCTATCCATTAATTGATGGAACTTTTTTCATTTCTCCACGCCAATACTGCAATAGCTCTATACCAGTGAAAGTTGATTGTCAATTACAGTATTTAAATGCTGTATGCATGGGTTGTTTAGAAGGCTGGAATTCAGTGCTTATTTGTAAATACTGTCAAAATAGATGGGATGGTCGGGATTTGATTCTAGGCACAATGTATTCCTATGATGTTATAGCAGCTATACCCTGCTGCCAAGAAAGGCTACGATGCAATAATTGTCAGAGAATAATTATGTTGCCTGATCGTAGATTACAGTTTTTTAGTGATTACAGTCGTAGTATTCCCTGTTCTAATTGCAGTGCTGTTGATTTTCATTTTATAAAACCTTTGGCATCTTATAATTTGGTTAAAAATAATTGTTAAGCTTAGTATTGTTTAGTTAATGATTAGATATATTTGATGGCAGGGTATTAGCTGCAAATCGAAATAATACAACTGTTTTTTATTAATGTCATGTTTTTTGGTTTTGAAGTTTATTGGTCACAAAGTAATGTGACTTAGTGTCTGTTAAAACTTGTATGTTTATAGAAAGTTAATTGCTTTGATCTAATAATTTTTTAGTGTTGAATACTCTAATGCTGTTAACTTGTTTGTAAATGTGACTTTACATCTGTTTATAGTTATATTGTTAAATAATTTTTTTGTTTGTTTTCAGAAGTCATCTTTGATAGTTATGTGCTTAGCATAAACAAGTTTTGCATTATGTTAAGCCATAGATATAAAATATAACTTTACTTGTTTGCATTTTTGTTATGTTGTAATTTTTAACTTGTTAAAAGCTGAGAAATTAATTATTTTTAAAATCAGTTTTATCAAGTACTGCTGATATAATACTGATTTTGATATAGATTTTCTAATTTGATACAGATATATTATGTATAATTACTATTTCAATGTTAAAGTACATACCTTTTTGAAGCTAAATTATTTAAGTGCCAAAATTGTTAGAATACATTTCGTTTATTTAAAATTTTATTTAGTTAACAATAGTCGCTGCTGAAAAAATTAAGGGATTAAATTTTCTGTTTTGTATAATGCTATTATTTATATATTGATCAAAATTAAATAGATATTTATTTGTATAATTTCTATCTTAATAATATAAAATGTTTTATTAAAGAAATGTTATGGAGAAAATAAAAAGTAATTTATTTCTGTAAACAGTTACTGTTTACAGAAATAAATGTTTACAGAATGAATTTTTTTTAAAAATATTTTTCAACCATTATCAAATAAGTATAGTTTTTAGCAATTCAAAGGAATGATATAAAAGAATTTTTTTATTGCAACTATTACGAGAATAAATTATTTCACTTTTAGTCATCATGAAATAAATTTATTTTTTTTTATTTGTAAGAAAGATAAGTATTTTGTATAAATGAATATTAAAAAATGGAGGAAATGTTTGGATGAAAAAGAATGATGATCAACGTTGAAATTCTTTTTAGTTTAAAAAACTACATTTTATTAGTGAATTGAAACATATTTAAGTTGACCACTTGTCCTACATTGTATACCTTAAAAGAGGGGATAATTTTCTTTTTATCATTTCATATGTTATTTTTACATATTTCATACTCATTTCAAATCAAAATATACATAATTTTTTTTTTTTTGCAAAAACTCCACAGATTTTATGGGCATGAACTTGAAATATTATTTTTGTAGCATTTTAAGAGGTTTTCATATTAGTTTTAAAATTATTATTATAAGTTTTTCCATGCAGCTAAGTTACATTTTAATGCTGTTTTACCAATAGCGTGAAATTATTATGTATAATAATATAGAAAATTTCTGCAAATTTTTTTTTGAAATTATGAATATCATTTAATTACTTCATTAGGGAGATTTTTCTTATATTTCATTGGTTTCCATACAAGATGGTGGTCAAATTATAAAGATTACTTCTTTTTTATGAAACAGGATAATTTTGGTTCTTAATAATTGAGGTCAACTTAGAGATACGAAGGTGGTCAACCTGACAGATTTCATTGTATATTCACACAAAATGTTATTTCCTTTAAAAAAATTTCTTGTATATTAGTTACTTTGCTCAAATTACAGCAGATGTGATAAAGTGAAGGATTTGGTAGTTTTATTGTGGTTAACATTTTATAGTCCTGTGATTGTTATGAAAAGTATTTAAACTAATTTGGCATACAGCTATTTTTAATACTCTTTAAACTTATATGTGTGTGTGCTAAAATCGATTTTCTTATTGTAAATAATATGACAGTTTTTAACTAAAAATACTCTAGAATGGCATATCTACGTGAATTATTTTCTATGTATACAAAACAATTGTTGTTTTTCTGTACATTGGATTGTGATCTTGGAAATTTTTATTTTCCAATTTAATTTATTTGCTGCAGAATTCAACTAAATTGGATTTTTTTTTTAAATAGTATTATTTAGATATCTTATTAGCTTTATTTCATAGATAACAGTAGTAATCTTATCGGCTGTTATTGATGGGACTTCGTATTGCTTAATTGCAAATTGAATGATTTTGAAACTTAAATTATTTTTATTAATTACTTAAATTAGTTTTATTAATCTTGGTTCATTTCGAATTCTTGACGTAATTAATTTAATTTTAATACTGAGTCCATACATAAATTCTTTTGCGCATTTTTTTTTATGCATTAATTTAATTTTATAAAGTTAACTTACAGTTTTGGAAATATTTATGCTAAGCATAAACTTTGTTTGATTTGAAACTTGCTTCTTATGAAGCCGAAGCCGTTAATGAAACTGAAGCATTGTTAAATTTTTTGGAATAAATGTTCTTTTAATAAAGGTAACTTTGAATGAACCAATTATTATTTTTGCCTTTTGAAAAGTTACAAATTTTCACAAAATATACATTAAGTAAAAAATTATCTTTTTTATAAATTTATTAAAATGGTGATTATATTAAAACAATTTGTAGATCAAATTCTTTTATTTTAAATATTAAATTAAACATGAAAGTTGGGAATATTAATAATTTTTTTAAGCTGTCATTAAATTTAACATTTATTTCTAAATTAGTTATTCTCATACAAGTTTTGTTAGATTTATTATAGGTCTGTTTTGAAGAAATTTGTGCCCATTAATTGTTTAGAAGAAAATTGTGCCCATTGACCCTTCATAAAATATTTGTTGTAAAAACTGACCCCCTTCCCCCACAAAATATCTTTTCTTAAAAACATTCCCTTTTCAATATTTTTCTTTTTCAAAATGGGCCCCTCACAAAATTCTTTTATAAAATGTATGTCATATTAATTTAAGAACCTGTTTAAAAGTAAGTCTTTTTTATCTTTCGCAGAAACAACGAACCCTTCATAAATGATTTACTTTAAAAGCAGACTCTTAGCAAAATATTTACAAACTATATAACACATTGTCCTCTGATTACAAGTTTACTCATTACATTTGCATTATCTGTTTAAATTAATAAAATCCAGGACAATATAGAATATTGCAAAAGCTTTAATGCATCATTAGTCATGCCTGCTTTATAATAAATAATATGCTTTAATATTCAATTGTAAATTAAAAGCTGGTGTCACGACATAATTTCTATGTGTAATTGATGGGCGAAAAAGTGTTAAAAATAGACTGTTCTCAATATTTTTCATTTTAAAAATGAACACTTCACAAAATTCTTCTTTTAAAAAAGAAGTCTGATGTCATTATTCATAATTTTAAAAGTGCAATTCCTTTAAAACCTGTTTTTATGTGTTCACACAAAACAGGGTCTTTCACAAAAAGTTTATCAACCCTTGCTTATTATCAATTAATAAATTTCTGAAACTTGGCAGCATAAAAATAATTTTTTTCTTTGCTCAGTATATAAGAATAAAGTAAAGTTTAGCTATTTCTGAGAAAATATTCAATGAATTTTAACATTAATGACTAGCTAATGTTCTTAATCATTTTTGTTAAGTTTAGAAAAATGTACGGGTAACTATCAAATAAGACTTAAATATCTAGTGTAATTTTATTGTGGTGTATTATATCTCAATACACTAGCTAAAATATGTAAAATATTAAGTATAGCTTTGATCATAAATGGATTGTCTTTGTGCTTAAACAGTTTTTATTTTAAAAGTGTTCCTTTCCATAAGAAAATGCTGTTGAATTACATAATATTGACACTTTTAGTAACTATATTTTATTAAATATTATGTCCTGTATGTGTACATATGTAAAAGTAACAAAAAAATAGAGACCAAAAGTACAAAAGAATTGTGTGGCTATTAAAATGTACTCTTTCATCTTCGCTCAGCTTGATTGGGTTGAAACAGAGCCAATAAAGTACAAAGAATGCAAGTCCTGATTATAATTTTAGGACATTCATCTTTAATATTATGCTGATATATTGTTATGCATTTAAATGTAATATTTGTTTGGCTCCTGCTATGTAAATCTACATTCCCCAGTACCTTTAGATATTTTGTTATGCACTTGTTTTTAAATTTTGCTACACTTCATTTATTACTAAAAAAATTTCTTTTTTCAAAAAAGTTAGTTACAATTATAATTTTAAATTTATCTTACTTATTTAACCATTAATTACTATCTTTTGTATATTTGTGCTTTGTTTTGTTAAAACTGTTTTTACTCTAGAAGTCTTACCTCTTCAGACCTAGAAGTCTAACCTCTTCAGTACATACTAGTGCTCCTCACCAAGTACAACTCTGCTTATCAACGAGTAGCACTTTACAATATCTTACAGTAATTCACATGTCCAATTTACTATATCTAGACAACATTGTTATAGCTGAAGTAATTCAAAGGTTGATGGTGGTTCCAGACTTAGTTGGGCACCTTTTGTAAGGAAATCGAATGAACTAGAACCCATTTCTTAAACTTCTTGCTTATGGCTTCCACTTTTATCTAGAAGAAAGTTATGAATGGATCTCTAAAATTTAATTCAGGGATTCTGTAAATTATACACTTTTATCAGAAAGAATAATGATGCAATTGAAAGCTTTCAAAACAAAGGTGATATGTAAAACGTCAAAACTAGCTTAAATGCCTAATCAAACCTAGTGGAGTTTCTAATAATCGCCTTTTATCTCCTCTGACACTCAAATAGTTTTTGATGTTTACATTCCAACCTTTCTTAGTAATTCTTAGCTTTATTTTTAGCAAAGAGTCTAAATATATATATTAAAGGAAACTATTTTGGAACAAGTCTAAATATATATATATTAAAGGAAACTAATATGGAACAACCTGGGCAAAGTTTAAAATTTATGGGTATCAGGTCTATTCTCTAAGTAGTAATTACAAAGGTGTATCATGTCAATAAATTTAATTATTTCTTATTATTTTATGTCTTTCAATTAAGCAAATGTATAATAAAAACTTTATTTAATTTTTTAAAAAAAAGAAAAGTTTTATTTTTACAATAAAGGTACTTGGGTTTGTAAGTAGGTAGAGCCATTTTAATTTACCTAAGTTTAAAATTGTAAATTGCGCTGTAAATAAAACATTAAGTGAAGTTTTAGAACAATATTGATTTATTAGCATATTTGCTGATAGATAAATGTGTTTTTTAAAAAAAATTCCAATTTTTACTTAATTGTGTGATTTTTTATTAAAAGATTTGTTTGAAAGAACTGTGATTGGAATTAAGGATGTTTGTAATTGTTGTTCATACTAGTGAACATATTTTTTGATGTGCTTGTAATGGAGAAGATTTTTGATAATTTTTTACTGTATTTAATTTGGTAATTGAGATGTGATATATTTTATATGGAAATGAGTGTTTTGTATTTTGACATGTGAGGTTTGTATGAGCTGTGAGTACTTACTTGTATGATAAGATTGTCTAAATAAGATATTAGAAATAAACGACAGTATGATAAGATTTTGTTTTTCTTTGGTATATAGTTTTAAAATAATTCAGTTACATAAAAAATTGAATTGTGTCAGGTGAATTTTTATTAGTTAAAAAATTAAGTATATTACTTCTTTCCACATTCTTTAACTTTAAA